TCTTCTTATCCCGTGTAATAATAATTACACGGCGCACGTGTGCACGCGAGCGCGATGGAGAGAGCGACTTCAGTGGCTCGGCGGCGGCGGAGACGCATGTGGAGTTCACGACGCGTGTGGAGTGATGTATGCCTCGTGTGCGGCGGGATACGTAAGACGGGTAGCTTATACGTCTTACATGCCCGGAGGCTCTCAAAGCCGAGTCCCTCGCTCCGTACGCGCGTATATATATATATATGTACGCGAGTGTGCGTATACGAGGCATCCACGCGCGCGCGTGTGTGTGTGTGTGTGCCACAGCGACATGAATGTACATATCCTCGGCTGTGTCCAAAACTCCAAAGCCGAGCGAGTCACCACGTTCGATATCGCTACACGCCACCCCGCTACGACCTTTTTTTCCCTTTTCGTAACACCCGGATCGCTCCCAGGAGAAGGTGCGTTAATTACGCCGCGGGACGCGTGTACATGCGTGTCGCGATGGTGTAAAGTCACAGGGAGACATTAACGAGTCCGCCACAGGTAGTTTAAGCGGATTCGCTCCTCCACGCGATGGGACATGCGCTCTACGACCTATAAATGACACTGTCATAATTCGTACGTAGGTTTCTTATACTAACGCATCGTTTGCGACAGAGCTGGATAATATTTGAAATACAAAATATGATAATCTAAATTGAGCTTTCTAGATAAGAAACAATTCGTTCTTATATTATTAAACCGATCGATTTATAATGTAAGAATAGATATATACTATTGTTAAGATTAAATGCACAACTGCTGCGCTATTATTGCTCTCAATCGCCCGGATATTTCTAATTAATGTTTGTTTATGTATTTGAAATAGTTTCATTTTAAATACGTATTTTTAAAATGGAAATGGCATTTTGTATTTTCCATATTAAATGGTTTTTGGAAAAGCATTTGCATTTTATATTTGAAATGGATCGTATCTATACATTTAACGATTTGTAACATAAGTAATAATAATAGTAAAAAATTGTAATTTGGTATTGTTAGAAAAAGAATATATAGAAAATGAGAAAGAATATATTTTAAAAGAATACTTATATTTCTCTACAATCAGTTACACTACTCTAAAATTATAGGCATTTCAAAATTGTGATCAAAGTACAAAATTTTAATAAACGTTCAAACTCATTTTTTTTCAGAGCCTGTAATGTTTTTTTGAGCTATATTATACATTGCAGCAAATGAATGTTATACATAGATAAATAGATATAAATTATAATTGATTGTTTATTTACATTCTACTGTACGCTTTTAATAATTGGTACTAATTCCTATAAGGACTAAGTGTATTAGTTTAAGAAAATGTGAAACATTCGCTTTAATATACAGGTATAGTTATAGTCAACGGTTAGGATTATCATTATTGTATACGTGGAGAGAATACTGTTGATTTGCGGTTTCAAAATTATTAAAATCCTGGGGAATGAAAACCGATTTCATCGAAGGTGTAAAGGGGCAATGTATGTCAAGACTTGAAAATATTCCACCTATCCTTTTTGCAGGTGTGTTATACGTGTGCGTGAAAACTTGAATCTGTGGTGAATAAATTATCATAATAACTGACCATACCGAGTTAAGGCTAGTCATTGAACGTCGTCATGGTGCATTAAATTTATACAGTCATTAACGCCATCATTACTCCGACATGATCAAATCGACTTTAGATACAACGAAAGTTACTATATATTTAGACTAGCAAATCAAAAAAGGGGACATTTTCAAATATCTAAGAAGAACAAAATGACTTCAAAATGATTATTAAAAGTTACTCTCTAATCATTCACGATTTATTTTAATATATTTATTTTGACATTATCATGCACTCTAAAAAATAATATAATTATATAGTTTAATATGCGGTGTTTACATAATTCTCACTACGATTGAAGTTAATATAAACATCAACATGGTGTAGATTTTAAAATCCATGGTGTTAAATCTTTTATTTTTTAAGTATGATCTGTTGTTCTGCTTGGGTACAGTAAAGTCGACTGTAGAAACAGAATACGTCGCGCGTCGTCTTGTTCTTAATTATGGTGATTAATTCGAATGCAGATGCGGCTAAACATAAATGTCGAGATATTATTAAAAAGTCAGGTTGCCTCGAACGAGGCAGAGAAAATGATTTCGCGAGGTCAACGATAATCTCGATACTCGTTACGAATTTCCCAGCGGTTTCATACGGCAAAGGAACACGAGAAAGAGAAAACGGAGGAGTCGCGAGGAGTACGCGCATAAAGTAAGCGTAGCGTGCGGGGCGCAAGAACTCGTACGTCTTCGACGAAGCGCAGAAATCAGGGTCGTTAACACTGGTCCGCGCGCGGCGGGTGCGCCACGCCGCGCCGCGCCGCGCCGCGCCGACGCGGATCAGCCGGGGGTTGGCACCTTCTTTTTTGGATTATATGTATACATGCATATACGTGCCCCCGTGTACGCGAATGGACGCGATATATACATTGATTGCAATTTTTGCAGTCCGTTCGTGGAGTAATAATGCTAATTTGGTAAGTAGAAATGGGCATCAGCGGGCGGTCGGGCGGACCGTGGAACACACGGTAGCACGGGCAGCGCTAATGCCTCGTTTTTGTCCTCCTTCTTCCTCGCTTTTGCCCTTCTCTACCTCCTCCTCCTCCTCCTCCTCCTATTTCTCTCTTCCATACGCGTTCTCCACCTTCTCCATCTGCCCTCCCGGGTCCGCCACCACCGCCATCACCACCAACCGCCTTCTCCTCATCCTGGAAGGCTCCTTCCACCTTCTTCTCTTTGCTGTTGCACCATCGCGCTTCTCTCGTTCTCTCTTCCTCTTACCTTCACTCGGTTGGACAAGGGCCGCCAGCTACGGCGGCAGGCGACATAATGACGGCCAGACCTCAAACCTCAAACTCCTAACTGAATCATGAGTCCTCTCCGCTCGTCCGCGCCCGGGACGGCTAACTTCTACAGGCGCGGCTTCTCGATTTACCGTGTTGCGGCTCCCTCCTGGGTTAAGAAAGGAGGGGGTGCGCTACGTGCCGAGGTCGTTTTGTCTTTTTCGTTTCGGCGACTCTCTCAGGGCCGACTTTTGTGTCGTATTGAATCGCAAACGACCGGACGCGAACGGGGGGTGCTGCCGTGAGGAACAAGGACGCGTGCGGATTGCATTTTTTTACAACTCACGCGCCGTGATTGCGAAATATAGTCGCACCGAGTTGCTTTTAACTTTGCAAATTGC